ATTTTAAATAGTTTAAAATCTTTGAATCATGACACTACCATGTTTTTCATTCTCTTATTTTCTTTCAGAGTGTTTACATTGTGTATACATTAGTTTCATCATGATAAGAACACTTAAATACTGCACGGCAATCTTGTGTACAGATTGCCCTGTGATTACTTTCACTTGGTTTCCTGTGTGTCCCAGTGCAAACCGTGTCTCCCCCAGTGGGTCCCAGCTTCTAGAGTAGAGTCACACTGCCTCCTCTGTTGTGTGCGAGGTTGCTCACTTTTGTGGGAATTACCAGCTATACTTATTACGAGCTTTATGTCCCTCTAACCCAACCTCTTAAGCCTCTTTATTCATGTGTAGAGTGAAGATGATGATAATGTGTATTCTGTGTGGAATTTGATCGTGTATAGAAAATGCTGGAAGCTCCACCTGCTGATGCCCTACACATGGCAGCCGGTAGATGTGAAGACTGATGACTCACAGTATTGCTGTCACCAGTCCCTAACTCTCTATAGAAAACTGTGTCGCTGAAAACTCAAAATCGTCCTGGGCCTCCTACTGAGGACCAGGGCAGTGCCTGTGCTGGGACAAAGCTCCACGGAGGGGCAAGTACGTGGGTAACGGTAACAAGATCATCTGGGAGGCCCTGCATATAGGCAGGTCTTTGAACATACCTGAACATATCTCAAAACCTACTGCTAAGCAGAGCTGACCTGCTCTGCATTCCTGTAACCTGGTGGGCAGTGCAGCCAGGGGCTGGGAGTAGTGATTCCTAGAGCAGGGAAAACCTGGAAGTCTGGCTCGCCTGCCAGTGATACTCCCCCAGCATCTCCATGATGCCCTTGGGAAGTGTGCTGGCTCTGCCTCTGGCCCAGCGGGCACATGGGCTGGGGGACTTTACCCTGCATTCTTAATTCAAAGAGTGCTTTGTATTCTTTTTTTGAAAAACATCTTCAAGCAGATTTTAGGGGCTCTCAGATGACCAGGATCCCTTCTTTCTACTTTTGACTGCTGTATACTGCCTTCCCCAATGTTTAATTTTATTAGGTTTTGTATTTTGACTGTGGTCTCCTTAGTCTCTTGTCTTGCTGACTGAAATACTAGAAGAGGAAATATTTGGAGAGAGATTCTCTACTCAAAAAAGTGGCAGAAAGGAATTACATAACTTTTTATACGCATGTAAGCTAAAAACAGTTTTATTTGCACACATACATATACATACGGATGTATGTATACTGGGTATTGTGTGAACTTTATGAGCAGAGTGTACCTGTCTGCTGTGTTCATCAAAGAGAAGTTAAGAAATAATGATGAACGAGGTCAGCAGGAAAGCAGCAGGTGAAAATCAAATTTGCTGAATGCCTACTATATCCCAGATAGGCCAATGTTCTTCATATGTTATTGTCCTCCCCAAAATCTCATGAAGTGGACACCATTTCCACCCACACTTCACTAATGTGGACACTGAACTATCCCAGATTAGGCAGTTTGCAAGTGAGAGAATCTGGATTTCTCTCTCTCAAAGCCTCTGTCTTGACCAGCATTCTGTCTCTAGACCCCAAGAGAACTGAGGAAAAGAAATGTTGCATTTCTCCAGTAAAAAAAAAAAAAATCAAATACCAGCACTCAAGTATACAAGGTTTACTGTATTAATTTCAACTATTTCCAAATTGATGTTTTAGAATTTAGGAAGGAAACTAGGATAATTAAAAGTTCAGGAAGACATGCATTTGAAAACTGTATTCATCATTTACTATTAATAATAGCTACTCGGTTTTTATCTACCCAGTTGTGTGGATGTTGGGCAGGAGAAGAAATGTGTAGTGGATAAGACTTGAATGAATCTGAGTTCACATCTCTGCTAGTTTACTAATCAGCTGTGTCATCTCAGGGCAAATTACTTCTTTTTGCTCTTAAATTTGCTTATCTATTGAGAAAAATGGCATCTCCCTCAATGGGTTCTAACGAGGAATGAATCATTTCGATTATGTGAAGCACTTAGAACCAGGTATATATGACACATGGTGGGCTCGAAGAGGAAGAGTGTGGGCGACACTTCGATCATTTATTCACATTTACTGCCTCCTGTGTGCTGGGCCTTAGACAGGGGCTAGTGTTATTTGTAAAGAGTTCAGCTGTTTAAAGGCAGCTGCACTAAATATTAAGTGAGAATATCTCCACTACAGGAAAATTTTCTCAGAAATATTCTACTGGGAGAGATTCACAATTACCACTTTCATTTGCAAAGTGAGCGCCTTTTCTCCACGGACAGCTATGTTTAGTTTTTGTCCCACATACATAGGAGGCCTTTGCCCATTTCATAATGGGCAATTTAGGAGCACACCTGCCCACACCCCCACACCGTGCTGAGTTTTTGACCAAAAATGCCATGAGCTTCCCTACTCACCTGATCTTGCCCTGAGACAGTTTTCTTATTTCCAAAGATGAGAAAAGTCATCAAAGGGAAACATTTTGCTGACATGGAAGAGGTGACACAAAAAATGGCAGAAGCACTAGATTACCCCTAGGCCTATGCCTTTTTTCTCTCTCTTTTTTGGTTTTGTTTTGTTTTGTTTTGTTTTGTTTTGTTTTTTGAGAGGAAAAGCACTAAATCCTAAAGAGGAAAGCAGAGGTGTGGATACATAGCGGTCTTACCTACAAGTGGCTCACAGTTTCTCCGTAAGGTCCTTCCTGGCTTGACCTTTCAGAGAGAAGCATCCATGCAGGGCACTGGATTCAGGCTGTGAACCATGAGTAAGATGGCGCCCACTGCCCTCCTCCTGAGTCTGGTGAGCACTGTGTGGGCCAGCGTGAGACCTGCACAGCCACAGACCGGCCACTGTGTGGGAGGCATGCAGAAGCTTGGGTCCCACTGCGAGGAAGGGAAATACTGATGTGTTCAGGACTGTTTTATCATCAAGGTCAAACATTTGGACATGAGAATGGTGGGGCCTCTCCCCCGAGACGATGAAAAAGGAAATACAAGCAAATCCAAAGTGTCAAGGGGCCTCCGCCAGCCAGGGATTCCTTTTAAGAAGGTCTCTCTCATATCCGCTCATTACAGAACCACCTTAACATGAAAGTTTCCTCCCAGAGCTGGGGCTATTGGGACAGCAAAGCTGGAGCCATTGGCCAGGCCTCCCGCAGCTTACTGAAACCTGGTAAAGGCAGCCTTTACCAATTTGCATTGCTCAGTCCCTTCCCCTTTCTCTCCCAGTCTCCCAATTCTGCTTTCTTTTGGCTTCCGTCAGTCTGTTCTCTGTGTCGGAGTCTGTGTGTTCCTTTATGTCCTTTTGTTGATTCCACCTATAAGTGGAATCACTTGGCATCGGTCTTTCTCTGACTGACTCATGGGTTAGCATAATACCCTCTAGGTCCATCCATTCTGTCGTCAATTTTAAAATTCATTCTATTTCAGGACTCTGGTGGGTCCCAATCAGCTCAGCAACAGAGACTGTCATCCTTAGGGACCGAGTGTCACAGATATAAACATTAAGAAACTCAAGTGTCGTAGAGGGAAAACCTCACAGGCAAATCCCTCTAAACACACCTTTATGCAAAGTTGAGACTTTAGGAGAGAAACAGTAAAGGAGAATAAAGACTAGAATAATAACTTAGGCATGTGATGAAAACAGTGTGCTGAAGTAGGGAGCTTTCCTTGAGGATGAGTCTCAGTATAATGTGCCAGAGGCTCCCCTGTGAGTGTCCTGCCTGCTCCCTCTGTGCTGCCATAAAAGGGCAGACTTGGACCCAACATGTCACCTCTCCTCTGTACCTCTGCAGAAGTCCTTTCACCCAGAGGCTTCCAAGTGTTGTTACACATGGGAATTAACCCACCTCATCATGACTCCCCTCCCCAAAGATGGGTCCTTTCAGTAGCACAGACCTTTACCTACGGGACTACTCAAGGTCCCCTGAGAGGTCAGGAATCATCCTCATGAATCTTTACAGCCAGGCTCCTTCCTGTTGGCCTTTCCCCAGGCTCCCCAAGAGCCCACATACCTGGAGACCCAGACTTCAGCCTCCCTCTTTCCCATCTTATCTGCCCCAAAGCTGAGTGAGGACACAGCATGGATTTTTAAAGATACTTTATGAATCACTTTAAGTACAGAGTTGGCCATATTTTTTATTTGTTCCCCCAAACTCTTCTGTTGTCAATCCAGTGACCAAATATGTATTAAACACTTACTTGATTGCCACTCACTGTGGTGGACACAGGGACCACTGCAGTCATGCCTCTCCTCTCGCTTCACGGGAAGGACAGACAATGACAGGAATCAGGTGCCCTGGTGTCAGGGCTGGGAAGATGACAAATGTGATGGGCTGAGTGAGGTGGTAGGACAGGTGGTTCAGGGAAGCCCTCTCCATGCAGGTGGTATCTGAACTGGGATCGGGAGTGTGAGAATAAGCCAGGTTTTTCATTTTTCTTTTCTGTTTTTGCATCTTACAGATTTTTCATTTCTAGTCAAATAAATCTCAGTCTTCAATATCTCACCAAAAAAAAAAAAAAGCTTCTGGGGGATCCTGATAATTTCTTCCAGAGTAAAACTGTCATGAGAGCAAAGAGTAAGAAAGCCACTATAGTTTATCCACAGCCAGGATTGGTCCCCTAGCTCCAGCTCCTACCTCATAAGGCCCCACTGTGATGTGTCACCAAACCTCTGCTCCTATATAAGCTCCTGGCTGGCGGAGATCTTTGTCCGTTAGACTCCAGAAGCTGTTGCAGGTGACTGGTTGGACTAGGACTCATTCGCTCATTTCCTTGTTTCTCCTGAAATTGAAACAAATTTTTTTTAATTTTGGTTTTTTTTTCAGTTTTTTTTCACATTTTTGTTTTAATTTTGTTATTTTCATTTTCTTTTTCTTCATTTTTATTTTATTTCATTTTGGTTTTTATTTTAATTTATTTCATTTCACTTTGTTTTTTATTTTAATTTATTTGATTTAGTTTTTTATTTTATTTTATTTCATTTCATTTTATTTTGTTTTGTTTTTGTTTTAACGTCACCATGTCTAGTGACTCTGCAGCCCTCTCTGCCAGTGAAGAGTGCCGTGTGGGTGGTTACCTCCTGCTGAGCCCCATCGGCCATGGGGCCTTTGCCAAAGTCATGTTGGCCCGGCACCTTCTGACAGGCACAGAGGTGGCAGTAAAAATTATCCGTAAGTGGGACTTCAGTGAAAGGTTTCAAGAAGTTCCTAGTCTTAAGATGTTAAATCACCCAAATATTACGAAATTGTTTGAGGTGATTGACACCCAAGACCAAACTTTCCTTTTTATGGAAAATGTGAGCAGTGGCCACCTACTCAACTATCTGCTGAAGAACTACCCCTTGGCGGAAGACGATGTCCGGGCCAAATTTCGACAGCTGGCATCGGCCCTGGAATACTGCCATCGGAAAGGAGTGATCCATCGGGACCTGAAGCCTGAAAACATCCTCCTGGACGAAGAAAACAACATCAAGCTGGCTGATTTTGGTTTCAGCACAAAATTTTCAGGTGAGAAACTCAAAACCTTCTGTGGAACCCTGCCCTACATGGCCCCAGAAATGTTGAAGTGTGAACCCTATGATGGACAGAAGGTTGATGCCTGGAGTTTGGGTGTCACCCTCTATGTAATGGTGACGGGCAAACTGCCCTTTAAGAAGGGCAACCTCAAAGAAATGAAGAAAAAGGTATCGAGTGGGCATTTCCACATCCCGGACTCTCTGTCTGTGGAGTGTCAAGAGCTGCTAAAAAAACTACTGAGTGTTGATCCAAGCCAGAGGATAAGTGTAAAAGAGATCATGGACAACCAGTGGATTAACATTGGATATGAAGAGGCCCTGAGGCCTTATACTGAGCCACCCGGGGGTGACACTGACCCCCGGGTGGTAGAAATAATGGAAAAGCTGGGATATAAGAAGAAAGAAATAGAAGACTCAGTGTCCCAAAACAAATTCGATACGGTCATGGGCACATACAGGATCTTACAGAACAGACAAAATAAAATGGTCGGACGCACAATCCGGGTAAGGCCCTGCCCCGCCTCTGACCCCAAGATCAGTCTGTACCCCGCCTCTGACCCCAAGAGCAGTCTCTGCACAAGACAGGGGACTCTGGCATCAGGGGAGAAATTGGAAAAATGCTCCAGTCTCCCAGGCCACATGGAAGCAAGGGTGCCCAGTCCCCCACCCCACAGGGAAAGGAGGACCAGGTCTCTTGAACCCAACCCGGAAGGGAAGTTTATCCCCTCGCCCAGCCTGCAAGTTGGGGGGTTCACCCCCTTATCCAGACTAGAAATGAGGGGGACCACCAACCCAGAGATGATGGAAGCAAGTGTGCCCAGGCCCCCATCACTCATGGAAACTCGGACCAGTTTCTTTCCACCCAGGCTGGGGACAAGCAGGACCATTGCCACAGACAGCAGAGAATCAAGGACGACCGTTTCCCCAAGCCGCACATTCTCAAAGATGGCCAGTCCCCAAGACAGCCTGGATAGCACAAAGAGCATTCCTCCAACAAGTCTGGCCTCAAGAGTCCCCTCTTCCCTGCCCAGCCCAGGGTCCAGGACGGCCTCCTCAGTTGCCCACAGCAGCAGCTCCTGCACACAGAGGGGGACCCCAGCCTCTCCTTCTGGCTCCAGCCATGGCCGGCAGGGGGTGGCCAGGAGGGTCCTCAGGTTTGTTTTAAAGTGCTTTTGCTGTTGGCCGTCCACTAAGAAGCAACACCACAAAAAGAAAAGAGTCAAGCCAATTTAAGTTTTTCAATTGTGGACGGCCTACAGCAGATACATTTTAAGGAAGACCTGAGGACCCTGGGGCCCAACCAGGGGCCTGGCCAGGTATGTGCTCTGAGCAGTAATCAAACCAGGGACCCTGTGGCTTGGGGACAACACCCAACCCACTGAGCCACAGCAGCAGGGCTGCACTCCATGCATTTGCAATGCCAACCCTGAGGCACTGAGCTCCAGGGAGGCCGGTCACTGGTGCGGGAGATGAGCCAGAGGCTGCACAAAGACAGCTACGGGTGTCAGCACTCCAGACACACACTGCGTGTGCAGGTGAGAGGACTCGGTTTGGTGCACAATGGACTTATTCAAAGCACTGCAGTGTTCCTGCATGGGATTCAAGTCAAGAGGGCATCATGCTTCTCTGTGGCCTTCACAAGCATCTTATCCAGAATATCTGCTAAGCTGGAAGGATGGCCTGGAGCCTACTGGAGGTCAAGAAGACAGGCCACCTGGGCAGCAGGCCCACCCCTCAGCCCCCACCTAATGAAACTTCAGAGACTGGACTATTTTCCCCCTGGCCCCTCTTCTCTCTCCTGCTTTTCTTTGCTCCCATGTTTGTGGGGGTTCTTATTAAAGTACTAGGTTTTTCCAAAGTTTGCAATAAACTTGATGCTCCAGAAAGATGTATCGGATGCTCTGTTTTTATTCTGTCTGAACAGAAGTGGGGGGGGCAGGCATCCTGTAGTCTGAGAAGTGTGTAGTGGATCAGTACTTGGGCTTTATTGAGGGCACTCCCAACAAGAACAGATGTGGTTTTTAGGAGAAAAGGCCAGCACCCAGCACACTGGGCCTGTTTCAGACTCCAGGGCGCAGCAGAGGTGAAGCAGGCAGAGTCTCTGTTGTCACACAGCCCATAGCCTGACTGCTCTGTGACATCAGCAGGAACCCCCTCTTCTGACCTCTTGGCTTTGCCTGCTTCCCTCTGGGCTGCTGTCAGTCTCAGGGGGCCTGTCCCCCTATACAAGTCAGAGTAGTAAAGCTCTGGAGGACAAGCACTCCAGGCAGAGGGAACAGCCAAGCCCCAGGCAGCCAGAGCTTAGTGAGCTGGAGTGAGAGCAGCAGGAGATGGGGCTGCAGACAAAGGGCAGACTCCTGGGCCTGGGGACGGGGTGTGGCTTTGACTCTAAGAACAATCATCATCCCAGGAAGGGTTTTAAGCAAGGAAGTAATATGATCCAATTTTAGGTTTAAAACTAAGAAATTGTGGAGCATATTCTTCCTCTGCAAACTTTTTTGTCTATCTCTGCATATTACCAGATTCACCAGGAAGGGCAGGTTGTCTTCTAACCACTGAAGAAATGTGAGTTAGAAACAGTATGTGTTTTTTCACTTGAATTCCTATTGCCTGAGGTCCCTGAACAGGTAGAAATGCAAATTAATGCCTTGTTTTCAATGGGAAAGACCTACCAGGCTCTGAGGAGCCCATCATTGTCCTTCCATCACTGAGTTGCTGATCTTCCTGCCCTTTTCATGAGGAACCTGCCCTGTTCCTTTGATTCATCTGTCCTCCATCCCTGTGTTCCTAACAGTGTATGACAGACCTGTGTGTGACTCCCATCACTTGGTGTTTTTATTAAGTGGTGCCTTCCCCTCCTTGCCCTGATCTTCCCTTCCTGAGTTCTTGGGGGCTGGCAACTGTGTTACTCAGCTTTGCATTCCAGTCATTACCCCGGAGGCAGGTCCAGAGAAGGGGCTCAGAGAGTGATGGACAGGTGAACCATCAACCTGGTGACTACACATAGATTGTCCCAAACCAGGACAGGTTGGAGTACAAAAGAGAATGTGATGATAAGGGTCATGTGGGGACTAGAGTGTGAAGTTGGATGGGAGGGACTGGGATGTAGGGTTGTTACTGAACAAGAGGTCTGAGGGAGGGGCAATACAATATTTGGCCCACCTAGGGATGCCCAAAACTGCTATACAACAGGGGCCCCTCCCCAAAACAAAATACTAATATCTACTGGGCTCTTCTGTCCACCGCCAATTGGAAAGATATCTCTCAATGCCAGAGATTTGTGAAAAGGAAACAAAATGTTTATTTAATGCTATTCAGGCCTAATGCCTCCACTAAAATATCAAAGTCCTTTAGGTTGTACACCTACACCCACACAGCGCTCCCTTTTCCCACTGTCCCAACTCTGGGTACCGTAAATCAGGAAAAGAGCATACGTCTGTGTTGCAGGCCGCTGGCACCGCCAGCTGTGTCACTGTTGTACACGATCGGCGGGTAAATACACACTCTCGGAGTCCGGAACCGAATTGATAAAAATTTGAATGGCCAAAGATTTTCCTGCGCAGGGGCGAACTTCCCCGACTGTGCCGGAGTCACATAGCTACTCAGAGCTACAAAATGGAAGTCGCGCCTGGCTTACAGACTACTGGGTATTTATATTTTCTAGCAAGCAAGCAAGCAAGCAAAGGCATACAGAAGCAGAGGTGGCGGTTAGCTATTGGCTTATTTAAAAACGGCGAGGGTCCCTGATTGGTGGGTGCTGCTGCTGGCGGGCACTTTCTGGCGGGCCGGGGGCACTTTCTGGCGGGTCTGGCGGACCTTATTTGGCTAGAATTTTAAACCCAATTGTTCCCGGATGTTTGTTCATTACCCTGTTCCAGGAACTGAAGATTTAGGGTTGGGTAATGCCCTAGCTGTAATTTTCCTAGCTGGGTATAACATCACCATGCAGGCAGGATCTCTCTAGTTAATCCATAGTACTGTGGTACCCTCTCATGGTCCACTGGCAAGAGTTCTTTGTACCCAGTTCCAGTCAAAGTCTCTCTTACTTTCCAGGCCACTCGGCCAAAGAGAGCATCCCAAAGCCACGTGGGCCTCTTCTACCAAAGCTGCAGGGGTTTGCACTCCACCAAAACCATGTGGCTTTCTTCTTCACCTGGCTGCAGGGATCTCCATTTTGGCAAAGCTGCGTGGTTTTCCCTTTCATCTGGGCAGTTATCCCCTCATGTCCTGGGCGGGGCTGGTAGCATTGGAGCTGCTTTTCTAGTGCCGCAACTTGTGATGTGAGGAATTTTGAGTTCTGAGATGTTTGCCAGTGAAGACCTTGTAATCCGACTGGTCTGGCAATTGTGAAACAGGCTCATCATACTTTTAAAAGAGTCTTGAGCCTTTCCCCCAAGTTTGATTTTACTGGCCATTTTAACTCTTAGCTTGGAGAGGAGGGTGTGCTGTTTGCTTTTCAGAATGACCTTTAGAACTGCAGGTGATGAGAGTGAAGCCATATCACAGAAAAGGCCTTCGCCAACGGGTGACGAACCTCCACACATTAAATTCTCCTGATCCAGATTTCTCCAAGCTGTGTGGAATTCCAACCAACACCCCTGGAGTGGTCACCTAAGAGAGACTTTTTAAAGAGACTAAATTAATGATGCAGGACATTTAACGCTTAACCAAGCAGAAGTTTTTTTCAGATTCTTCATGCTAAAAGTAACTTTGTAAAGTCTGTGCTAATTCTTTCCAAAATTGAAATGTAACCAGACCTGTTACTTTTGTCTATCCCATGTGTTTATATCATTTTTCAACTGACTGAATTTAAGAGTTTGAGTTATAACAACCCGGGAATGCCTTATTTTAATTCCTGTTTGTACTCTATGATGTATATAGAAGTTATTCCTTGTAATTGCATTTGAGAATAACAAATAGCAGATTTCACAGGCCTATCTTGATTTAATTTTATAAACAAGAATAGGGAGATATTGCTGACCGCTCTGCCTGATTTTGGAATTGTACCTCTGCCCCTAGGAGCTAAGGGCAAGAGACGACCTCTAGAATGCCGGCAGCAGGAGACTCCCTGGTGGCAGGCGCTGCCTCGGGTTCCTCTCCCTGCCCCCAGAGCTTGGTCGGAAGTCGGTGGCGGGTGGGACCCCCCCCAGCTTTGACAAAGCCCTGAGTCCCCATGTATTCTGGGAGAAGCGCTTTCTGACTTCGATCACCTTGGGCCTGAATGCCTGCTGGGGAGAGGTGCAACTCCCTTGCCTTGCTAGAGTTAGGAAAAATCTGGCGTCACAAAGACTTGCTGATAGACCTGTGAAATCTGCTCTGCTAGGAGTGCTTTCATTGATATGATAAGGGTCCGAGGGGGGATGGGTGTGTCTCCCAGGGATTCTGCAACTCTCTTCCTGACAGACACTCCCACAGACCTCTTTGAGACGTTCATATTTTGCTCTATGTCTACTCTGAAAGGAAAAAGAAGGAGCCCACTGGCAGGTGACAAAAGGCAGGGTTACAGGCGCCTACGGCCCTCAGCCTAGCTGGCTTGGACCCAGACCAGACTGCCACAGGGCTTCAGAGACTCTCCCACTACCATTGGGGGTGTGGGGGAGGGGACTGGCCAGAGATCTGGAGTGGTTCACAGGGAGGGAGACTAACCCAGTCTTCCTTGACTCCCGGAAACGGCGCTGCAGGGCCCCCACCTTCAGAGTCCGGCTGGACCTCTGCCCCGCCTCCACTGGGGACTGCAGCCTCAGTAAACCACCCCAATGGGTGGAGGGTAGCTTTGTGGTGCCTCTATACCCAGAGGTAGAAGGGGCCTTGGGGGCTTCCGGGATTCCTTAAACCGGAGTCCTAAGACCTTTGCAGGTAGGCAGAACCAGAGTCAGGGTACTGCTATTTTAGGTAAAATAGATGAGCTATGTGAGTGAACCACCTGGAGGACAGAGCATTCATGGGCGTCACCATCTTAGAACTAGCCAAGGCTTCTTTTCCGATTATGAGCTGTATGCTGGTAGTAGCGTGGGGCGGCTGCCTGAACTTCCCTGAGGGGCATCTGGAATGGACCCTGGTGGTGGATTCTCAGGCGAGCCGCCATTGGTGGTGAGTCTGGTCGGAGTGGAGGCAGCACAGGGTAATGGACCGCCGCCTGCTGTTGAGGCTGCCGTGAGAGACTAACTGGGGTGGAGTCAGGGGCTCAGCTGGCGGTGCCCTCGGGGAAGCAGGTGATGCTCTATAAGGGGGCGGCTGGAAGACAACCAGTTCATCCTCCTGGGAGGGGTCTTGGTGTATGGGAGGCCTAGATGGAGCCACTAAGACGGCAGATGAGCTGTCTCTAGATCGGGAGCAGCAAGATTGAGACCTTGTTCGCCCTTTCTTTCTAGTACCTCTCAATCGTCCCTGCGCCCCTGCGCACTGGCTCAGCCACTGAGGCATGTCCTGTGCTAATTCCTGTCATCTGTCTATGTAGGGGAGCTGATGTGGGTGTCCTGGCTTCCCGTGACTTTGGCATGGACTGCCCTAATTGTAGATAGGTTCAAAGTTCCCTCGGGGGGCCAGCCAACTCCGAAGGTCGGCCATTCTAAGGTACAAAACGTTTCTAGCTGCAGCAGTCAGGTTCTCTGTGTAACTGGTTCTGATAGGAATAGCTCTAGTTTTGAAAGTCATAAACTGAGGTCCAAGGCTGACCATCTGATTTATAGGGTGTTTGCAAGGTCTAAGCTTCAGAAAGGTTTAAAAAAATGTGCCTGCAAATCTAGGGACTTTTAGTAGAAGATGCCTATAGTACTAGGGACTTTTAGCTGCCAGATACTGAGTTTAAGTAGAGTCCTTCCCAGTGTAAGAAGAGAACAGAGATTAAGAGTAAATTATATAGATAGGTAAAAAGGCTATAAAAGGTTTGTGAATATTGCAGAAAGTCCGTGAGAAGTTATAAAAATAAATAGAGATGTGAAAGTTTTAGAAATAAATTATGTAGAGTTAGTAATAGAAGGTATAAGGCATGGAGATGCAATCTTAGTAGGTATCAGAAGGAAAAGGATTTTCCATCATGCTTTGTATTTTTCTCCCTACCTGACCCCTCCAGAATTTAGCATTCTGAAACACTGTAAGGTTTCTTTGCATAAAACCAATAAGACCAGTCATTAATAGTAGTTTTGTTAACCAGGACTTTGACTGGAATGTCACACCTGAAGGAGGCATATGGGTTCTGGTCATTACCAGAAAGCTCAGAGGAACTGGGATTGACCTGTGAAACTAGCAAAAGCCCACAAGAAAAGCCTGGTACTTTGGTTGGTTGTGCAGTTCATACCAGTCTTTCCAGGGAAGGAACGGAGGTTGCTTTCCTGAAAGATGGTTAAAAAAGAACCTGAAGGCACAATAGAGGCTCAAGGATTTGAGTGAAACAATTGGTACAGGCGAAGCCAGATGGCAGGTGTGTGGCTCTGCTTCTGTGCCCCAAGGGGCAGACTGAGAAGTCAATCTGAGGGTTCCCTGTGTGAGTTCCAGCAAAGCAGACTTAAGGACCAGAAGTGATCCAGGGTGCTCTTGGTGTATTTATGCAAACGAACAGTTAAAATCAAAAGCGGGACCCAAAGCAGTCTCTATAATAACAGTGAGGGTGATCTTAAGGAGAAAAATTGTAGTTCAAGGAAAATCACAATGCTTAGTATTAGACATCAGAATGGCGCAGCTAATGTCTTGAAAGTTTGCTTTCATTTGAAAGTTAAAACCAGGTTTGTGATGTCACCAAAGATGTACAATTAACAGGTACAAAGGACTTGTCAAATTATTACTGTTAAATGTCATTGTAAGAAAGACCATGCGATACAATGTCTTCCCAAAAGACAGACAGTCTCACAGACACAGAGACTAGTTTACGGATTATTATGTGTGTTCTTCTGTTTTCATAGGGCGCATGCCTATGACCTGCCTATGCCTATGAGTGATTGGTAGCAATATAGGCCTCAGAACCCCTCCCTGATAGTAGATCACAGGAGGAGAAAAATAATGAGGAAAGAAACCTCATTAATACTCTAAATCCAGGAAAAGGGGGGACTTGTTTATTCCTACAAAAATATATTATGCTTAAACAAGCAACTAGTGCTGTTTAGCATAAAAGGGGGGAATGACATGGGAAACTTTGAAAAACCTCTGTTTAACCTTTATTTGCCCAGGCCCCAGGCGCCCTAGAGAGAATGATGGGGCCGTCTGGGAGGGCGGGTGGCCGGATAGTGAGGACTGGAACTAGCACCGCCGCTGATAGAACAATTATCACATTCTGTTTCTGTATCCCACGTTTGTCACGTAGACAGAAAGACCCCCTAATCTATATATTCCCCAAGAATCCTTTGTTCGGGGCTCAGAATTTGGAAATGACTCCTCTGAGCCCGTGCACGTTAAACAATAAACCTCGTACTCCAGAATCCCTCGGTGTCTGGTCGCTTCGTTTTCCTATAACAACAACACGGGCGTCCACACACAGTGAACGAAGGAGTGTCTGTTTCAAGTTGTGTAGACCTGAGTATCAGATGGAACATAGGAGACGCTCATTAAATAGCAGCTACTGTAGTAATTCTTAGGTAAAGTTTTGTTTCTTGGTTTTTATTTTATGCTTTTGCTTGTTTAATTTATGAGGCTTAGAAAAAATCTGTGGGCAAAAAGGAAGCAATCGCAAGGGACTAAGAAAAAGGATTAGGACAGGAGGGAATTTTTCCTCTGCTGTCTCTGGCGGTAGCCAATTATTTACAGATAATTGGAAGCTGGTAGTTTCTACTGTACCTACGGGTCACTCAGAGGACATGTGCTCCCATCCACGTGTGCTGGTAATTCAACTGGGTGACTATTGGCAGATCCCTTCTATGGGACCTTAGGTTTCCCCTGGTTGTCTCTAAGGACGCCTTCCTGCTGCTTCTCTGGTAACTCGGAGCTCGCTCCTGCAGAATGGGCACACCCCCACCTCTAGAACACTTATCTCCATGAAGTCTGCAGCCATTTCAGGGCACTCCATGTCAATTCGAGACATGTGAAATTAATAAATTACATAGTACGTATTCAAGATATATGTTCATGTCAAGGCCTCTACTCATGACGGTGTTAATTTTAGCACCTTAAAACCATATGAGTTTTTCCTTAAGACATGCACTGCAGTTACTTCTAAAAATTCTTTTTAAGACATTAGAAGTAAGGAAAACTTACAGATGAAATCAAAGTATCAATAAGCCTGAAATTTGACTTCCTTTCCAAACTATGTTTTGTTCCTGCTGCTGTTAAAAATGAGTCAGGATTTGCTGTCTGGCAGCAACACAAGGTGCTTACAAGCTTCCAGGATGAAGAGAGAGCAGCCCGAATTACAGACGCGTTTGAGGCACGGTGCGGACCGCTTGCGTGACCCTGGCAGCTGTCCTGATGAAGGCTGCATCCTGCAGGGCTCTGGCCCATTTGAAGTTCCCAGACACCCAGGCTCCCAGCTGTGAGCAGTGGGAATAATTGTGAGGAAGACTCAGAGGCAGTCTCGGGGAAGATCCAAGCCGGAGATCGCAGGGTGTGGCTGTTACCTTCCCAGCACCCAGCCCTTTTGTTTGTTTTACAACACCTGAACCTTTCTCTTTGTTTCTTTTACACCAGCGCAGCATCCAAGCCCCCAGCACACCATTCCCGTCTCCCCAGGTGTTGGCTGTAGGTCCATATGGGGAAATGAAAATGGCAATGGTAATGACGATGTGATGGCAAATGTTTAAGAAGTGCTTCATATGTCACTTTTGAAAATGTTGTCTTCAGGCAGTCACAGCTACTATCCTCATTATACAGATGAAAAACACCAGGTCTTAGAGAGGACGAACATCTTGCTAAGGTTAATGAGAACTTAATTGGTTATTTTGTCTATCGTTTGCATTTTGAGGAGAGCACCTGTATTTTCTTGTATTTCTCAGTCTAATTGAGGATCAGTTCTTTCTTCAAAAGTCTTATAGAATACCCGCGTTATATCTCCTTTGCAATCCATAACAAATGGATTGAAGTTTGTTAAATTCCACTCTGGTTTTCTCAGTGTAATACAGATTGCTTTCATGGGCTGTGTTCATCAATAGCGTAGTGGGGAAAGTGCTTTTAAAGCCAGAAAGATCAGCACGGTGTTGTTTGTAACGGCAGCCAGAGAAACGTGCGCATGAAGGTATGATAGTGTTGAAGGCACTCATTGTATTTCTGAAACCTAAACCATCCAACCAGCGTCACTAAGGAAGAACACAAAACCCATGACACCGAAGTGAGTTTTGTAAGGACACGTGTAGGGGCAGAGACAGGCTTGAGGTCGGTGACAGTGTGGTCTTCCCATAGCTGACATGATGGCAATCAAGGATGCAGGCCCCAAACTGCTACTGTGAGCCAGTCAATGAAAACCCCTCCATCCTAAGATAAGAGGCTCAGCACTGCCTGATGAGGATTGCCCTGGGCCATTTTCCAGGGATTCTGGGAAGACATTTCTGGAAGTTGTGCCTACAGAACAATAGGTAATGGTCAGACAAAGGGACTCAGAAGTTCAGAGATATGTGCTGTGTATGAGAGTCACAGGGGTGGGCAAAAGTAGGTTTACAGTGGCTCACATGGAAAATAATATAATTATTTACAAATAATACGAGAATAAACTTGTGTATATTTATAACTGTAAACCTACTTTTGGCCCACTTTGTGTATATTACTGTATATGAGGATATAAGAACAAGCATGCGAACCCATTTAAACTTCCACTGGGGGAGAATGATGGCCCACGCAGGCTTCGAAGTGGCCTGAGCCCTGCCTTGTGTGCATGTGCTCTGCTGCGGTTCCTACCCACGGGGGTGCTGGGCCCAGGAGTGGCCCGCCCCACGTGGGACCAGGCCCCACTTCATCGAGGACACGCCCCAGACGAGTGGAGTGTGGCCGTCCAGGCCTTCAGCTCGGCCGGAAAAGGAAAGAAAGAACATAGTAAAATGGAGCGTTTTCCTTGTTAGGATCATCCTCATTTTTCTTATAAAGTAACATATTTATGTAGAAAACATTGGGAAACACTAAAAATGATAGTAGAAAAATTAAATTTACTGTAATCACACCATGCATAGGTCACTATGAAGATGGTGGTATACATCCTTCCAGAATTTTATGTATATTTTTAGAAGATGAGATATTCTTGTGTTTGTTCTCCACTGAATAGAATATGAACACATGTCCATATATAAAACATCTTGGATGCTGTACGTAAAACATAATTTGCGTGGTTCCACAGTATTCCAGGTAGTAGTGACGTCCTTATGCTACCGGCTTCTAGTATTTGTGCCTGTGGCATGTTTCTGATTTTTTTGTTCTTATGAACAACTAACAGATAAACAGCCTTCTAGCTGCATCTGGGGGCCCTTCCAATACTTCTTCAGGAAGAGTTAGAATTGTCGGTTACTGGGTCTGTGTAGTTCTACTGCTTTTGATATGTTTTACCTGGGAGGTATCAGTTTATATCCCACCACTAGCATGTAAGATTTCATTCGGATTCAGGACACATCTTAGCTAGTCTGAGCCAATGGCGGTGACTCCATGTCCCTTTTCAGTGTCTAGGTCAGTCATGGGCTCACGACACAGTCCTGGTGACTAGAACCTAAAGGCACATCTCCTTGAGAACTCAGGAAGTGGGCTCCTCTTTGGTGGAAAGAGACCCAGCAGGGAAAAGGGCCCATTTCTCCAGTTCTCAAAGTGGCAGAGGCTGCCTGGGAGCCAGAGCTGCCGTACCCACAGAGTGACCATGAGGGGCAGGGAGGACGAGAGGCAGTGTGCAGAGGATGGCAGGGGGAGCGTGGGGAAGGCGAGTCCTTGGAGCCACCAAATGAGCCCCCAGGGACCAACTCCTGACCGGACCATCTTGTGTGAAGTAATAAACGTTCTGATTTTCTGAACTGCGTGTAGTCAGATTTTCTGTAATTTGCAGTGAAAAAATCCTGCCTGGTTAATAAGCAGAAATAATATGTGATGGTTTTAACTTTCATTTTCTTGATTACAGCGAGCTTGAACTTTTCTCCGCCTCAGCTCCTTAGTGCTGCGTTTGTGAACCGCCTTTTCTGTCTGTTGCCCTTTCATTCCCACAGGGCGGTAGTCTTTATAATGATTTACAGACGTGTCTTCTGTTTAAAATGCTCCCCCTCTGTTGTAAATGCCACAGGTACACTTTCTATTTCCAAGCTTTTCAGTGTGCTGACATTTTCTGAATTTAACACACAAATCTTTGTCTTTGATTTCTGCCTTTGTTTTTATGCTTAATAAGTGTTTTGTCACAAAGGGAATATTCATCTGTACTTTGTTCTAGTTTTCCCATGGCTTTATTTTTACAAGTAATTATTTAATATACATTTTGGTGAATAATATGAAATAGAGACCCAATGTTTTAAAAATGTAGGTGAGCCTAACACTGTTTTAAAGGACAGTCTGTCTGGGTTACTACTGTGCTTGGTCCATCTTGGAGTTTTCTATTCCTTTTCGGGAATATCTGCCTGTCCTCTGCTTATACTAAATTATACTACTTTAGTAATTACACCTCTTTAACATATTTTATTGTCTTGTAATACAAGCCCAAATTCACTTTTATTTTGCCAACATTTTTGGTTACTCACTGATTTCTTTTTATACATGGATCTTTAATCATGTTTAAATGTCCCCCCAAATCCCATTAAGTTGTTTTCAGGGGGATGAATTACATTAAAATTATAAAATAATGTGAAGAGAATTAACATCTTTGTAACATAGTCACTTGCTATTTAGGACCACATTTCATCTGCCAAATCTTTAAAGTTGTCTTTGATTTTTGTTTAAATTTTGCATGTGGTTCCTATATATCACTTTTAACTTTTTCCCTAAGTGATTCAATTTTTGAACAAGTGGTGCATTTGTTTCTACAGGTAGAAGGAAAGCTGTCCTTGCTGTTTAAAAACCACGTGGTACAGGTGTCAGTACTCACTCTTCAGACTGAATCGAGTCCAGTGACCATCAAAACAGACACTTGGCTTTCATTAGTGCCCTTAGTGTTGGGAACTTTCTGCTAACGCCAAAGTGTTAAGTCATCTACATTTAGGAGAGAGAGATGCTTTCATCCAAGAATCCTGACGTCCTCTCAAAGGGTAGATGAGTTCAGATGATCATACCAATTACTCATAAATGAAGCATGTCTCCTTCACAAGCCTAAGCTTTATATTGTCAATAAATAGTATACAATATAAATAAAACTGTGCTTACTAAGTTATTTAATGTTTGTAAGTCAGTGTCTCACTTGGCATTCTTTGTCTCACTGTATGTCATGGAGCCAAAATTATAATTTATATCTGTATCGACTACAAATTATATATGTACAATTATATATGTGTAGTCCATACTGTATATAATCAGTCACACATAATAATCTATATAAATATACATTTGTCATTTTATACAGTTGCTTTTAAGATCAGCTACCAGAAGAAAGGAGAAATTATGCATTTATACAGATTTTTACAATTACCTGTACCTGTGCTCTTCGTTTTACTATTTAGTTTCAGATTGCGATCCAGAGTCGGTTCCCTTCAGCCTGAGGAAACTCAGTCGCATTTTCTCTTTGAGCCTTAATTTCCTCATTTGCAAAGTGAAGACAATATACTCAACAGGTAAGAATCTCCAGCTGCAACGGTCAGAAAACGCACCTTGATCTGGCAAAAAAATACACGCGTACCTGATACACAGGGACGCAGTGACTCATAAAGAGCCGTGAGGTAGGGCAGGCAGAGTTGAGTCAAGGAGTGTGGACGAGGCCATCCGAACCCACCGGCCCTTGTCCTGCCGGCTCTGCTCTCCTCCCGCTGACACGCTCTCCAGCTCCCTGTGTCCGTGTCCTCCCAGGTTAACGTCCAGTGGGAGAGGACTGGTGCTCATGCTTCTCTCCGAGCAGCTCAGCAGACATCCCAAATACCCATTCATCTGCCAATGCCCATGGCCAAGGAAATGTGGTGTTCTGATTGGCCAGGCCTGGTTCACGTGACCCTTTGGGGGTAAGGCTGTACCAACTCCCCACGTACCATGTGGCTGGGAAAAGGAAAGAGAGTGGACTCCAGAGGGAAACTGGGGTTCTGCAGCCAACAGGAAGAGCAAGAAATAGTATAGGGCCAGAAATCTATAGCTGTGTACTACTTGCTGCCCTACTTCTTAGGTCTGAAGTAACCCTGGTAACTCACTGAGTACACGACTTGGCACACAGTACTTCCCAATGTGTGAGAATGATTGAGAAAGCAAATCATTTCTTACAATGAACTTCATCCTCTCTTTCTCTTGAGCTATTTCTTCTTGGGTCCATTATCTCCTAAAGAAACAAAAGGATCTGGTCCTGGCTGGTGTGGCTCAGTGGAGTCTCGACCTGCAAACCAAAAGGTTGCTAGTTTGATTCCAGGTCAGGGCACAGGCCTGGATTGCCAACCAGGTCCCCAGTTGGGCATGTGCGAGAGGCAGCCAGTCCATGTTCGCCTGAACAGCAATGTTTCTCCACCTCTCTTTCTCCCTTCTTCCCCCTCTCTAAAAATAAATAAAATCTTTTAAAACAATTATAAAAAAAGAAACAAAAGGATTTGAAATCAGTCTTTCCCCCCAAAACGTAATGGGGAACAAAGGTCTTAAAACCTGGCCCCCTTCCAAGGCTGAACCCCTGTTGTGGTAGGCCGAGGGGAAACAGGAAAAGTAGGACTAAGGAGGGAGAGGGAAGCGGTGTTACTGTAGCACACAGCCAGCGTGTTTGACTCCTTATTCCACGGTCAGGTCCCTTCACCTCCCTTAGATTGTTTCTTCACTGTATGTTAGGAATGATGAATGCTATCCACTTGCTTCTTCTTTTTAAGGTTTTGTTTCTTTTAGAGAGATAGGAAAGGAGGGAGAAAGAGAGGGAGAAAAACATCAAAGTGAAAGAGAAACATTGATCAGTTGCCTCTTGGACATGCCTCAACTGGGGTCAGGCCCACAACCCAGGCATGTGTCCTGACTGGTCATCAGACTGACGACCTTTCGCTTTGCAGGATGATACTCCGCCAACTGCGCCATGAGGGCCAGGGCCACTTGCCTCTGTAGTAAAGACCAAACACTGCAATGGGTGTGGAGAAAATGAGAGCTGTGTCCTATTGAGTGTCTGTCACAGGCACTGTGCAGAGTTCTTTAACGAGCATCGTCTTTTTTAATCTTTTCAACTATCCTAGGAAGTAGTGAAATTGCACCTTCAGTTTACAGATGAGGAGCCTGAGGCTCAGAGAGGTTGCACAGCTGGCTCAACATCACTCTAGTAATAAGCTGGGGTTCAGCTTAGGTCCCTGACTAGTTCTTTTCATTTGGTCTTGCAGCCCGTTCTTTGTCATCTCCTGTCCCTGTGCATGTGCTTGGATAGTGGGGGATGGGTCCTGACATCTCCCATACCCAGCCCTCTCCAGTCTGTGTGTACACACAAATGCACACACTCAATCCCCTTAGCACGTGCCCCTTCCTCCCTCCCTCTCTTCACTGGAATCACGTTCTTTTCCACTTCCTATTCACCAGTCTGAAGTTTCTCCAGGTGAAGGAGACAGTCCTGGAAATCAGAGTCTTCACGGACTCCCCTTCCACAGCAGCCAGGACCTCAGTAGCCTTCCGGGACCAGAGAGGTAGGGGAGTGCCTCACCCTCAGCCTCTGGCCCATGCCCGCAGGTTGGAGTTGTGTGCGCGCTCTTGAAGACCTCTTCTGTGCTCGCCTCAATCAGTGTCCTGGTGGCCAGAGGACCAACTTAATAGAATCTCAGTGACCATAAGAGAGGTCTGCAATGACATGACCATAGAATGTGGACTCACCACATTTACAGTATAAAGAATAAGTCAGAAACCGGGAGGGAAGGCAGAGGGACGTCTGTGTGCTGGGCTCACGTGTATAGATTGCACGATTGGACGCCTTTCAGAATGAAACCCTGTTTCCTAGCTTTACATACATCCTTTGTCTCTGGGCCCCCACGCATTTCAATAATTCTATTCCAACCAGAACTTTAACTCAGGTACAAAACCCCATGTCTTCAATTTGCCAGGAAGTTCCCATGAGGGTACTTGAACTTCTCATCCATGGGTCCTGATTTTTTGTTCTCATGTATTTGGGTGTGTTAGGGCTCATTAAACTCCCAAACAGGCCTCTTACCAAAGCTCAAGCTTCCCTCATGCATGATGTAGAGCAGACACAGGAATAGTTTGGGGCTGCACTTCCATCTGAAACAAGGCAGAAATACAGTACAGGGGGGATTCGACCCTTAAGTAGATCTGTCTCAGGTGGTTGCTCAGCTACTTCTCTATGGTTGGCTCCCTTTCTCCTGTTACATCATTCTCTCTACACTGGCAATCAGGTCTTGATTTATATTTGGAGTCACAAAATACCTGACTAACTCTGACCACTTGTCTGCATTGCAAAACCCCTTCCACAGAGATTGTCAGACCTGGCTTTCCATTGCAGTCTCCTGGGGAGCTCTGGACAGCGGCAACAACTGGGTCTCATCATTCTGAGGGAATGGATGGGGCTTGTCTGGGGCTCCGGGAGTTCTGAAACATCCTTAGGTGACTCTGACATGAAACCTGGTGAGCGCCCAGCCCTAGCAAGTCTGAGTGTGAGCTGGTTCTCCTGGTGAGAAGGTCTCATTTCCCGTCCCCTCATTTGATTTCCAGGCATTGGTGACATAAGTGAACACACACAAAATGTATCAATTTACACGCACCCGAAGGGGAAGCACAGGTATGTCGCACACGGTTCTGGAGCACAGCATCCCGCAGGTGCCTGTAGCTGCTGGGTCGCTGTTCTTGCACATCCTTCACCACTGGGCCTGGAGGGTGTGCTTTCAGGTGCCCTCGCCTGGTGCTGTGTCTCGGACTATCTATACTGATCCCTACAGCTGTCAAAGCTGTCACTTCACAGATTCCATTGTAATATGAAGGGCTCTTCTAAAAATAGTGTTTTTATCTTCCAAAGTCTGTGCCAACTGGAACTGGAATGCACACAGCTCTGGTGCAGCCACAGTGAAGATAAACACCCACTTGCTTATCTCTGTTTCACACCTGCCCGAGCTTCTGGGGAGCTTTCCCACCTAGCAGGGCCAGGAAACTCTCTAACTCGTAGAGTGTCTGCATCCCAGGGTAAAATCTCAGTGGAGTAGTGTGCACTGTGTCTTCTTAAAAGACTCAACCCCTCCCAGGAAAATGACTGGCTCTTCCGTGTGGAAGGCCGGCCCCCTTTCAGAAAAGAGTCTGAAATACAGACTGGTTCCCGTGAGCTGTCTGATGAGCAATCGAGGGAGGTCAGGTGGCCGAGGTGAGGTGGCCCTGGGAAACCAGAGCTCAGGACTGAGCCCCCACCCATTCCACTGACACGTTCATGCTGTGAGCACCTGCCCCCGCCTCTGCCAGGCCCTGGGACCAGAAGGAAGCAATGCAGGCGGGGCCCCTGCCTCATGGAGCTTACAGGCTAATGAGGAGGATGGATGGGAAGCCATGAAACTCAAATACATGTGTAACTACAGAAGGTGATAAATGACGAGAGGGGTCAGAGAGGAAGGTACTGTGAGAGGAAACAATGCAAGGATCTCCTTGACACTAGGTAGTGGGGGCAGGTCAGGACAACCTCCTGGGTCTAAGGGATGAGGCAGACATGGCTGGAGGAGGGAATTTCAGGAAGGGCAACTCAGGGGTGGGGGTTTGCTAGCAAGTTCCTCCAGGAATTAGCATGACCAGAGGCAGGGAGCAGGGAACAGTCTGAGAAGGCTATTAAGCCTGTGAAGAGAGGTGGGAGAGGGAGGTCAAGGTCAGAACACTCAGGGCCTTGCAGGGGGGAGACTTGGGATTCTGCAGTGGAGGCCCAGTGGGTCCAGGGCTCAGGTGACCATCATGTGCCTTCCAGAAGAGAATGGATTGAAGAAGCACGAGTGAGTGGGGGACAGCAGAGTGAAGGTGGGAGGCAGCCGTTCACAGGGGTGTTGCTCACCTGAGCAAACGCACCTCTCTCTTGCCTGCTCGCAGGGTGAGGGAGCAGCAGGGTGTCTAAGGGGATCAACACTGTGTTTCCTGGGTCTGTGGGCCTGAGGCAGCTGGGAGGTGGAGTTTGGCTGTGACGTTGGCCGTGTCACTCAGCCTCATCCACTCTGTCTCGGGGACCAGCAGAGTTGAAGGTCTTTGTTCCCTGAGGACTGCAGGATCCTTTTGCCTGTCTCGTCCTTGGGTGATGCACAAGCACCTGGGTATTTTTACCTTTGGTATCTCTCCTGTCTCTCGCCTTTGTTCCAGTTGCTCTGCTGATATCTGGGTTGCGGCCCTGACCTTGTTTCCCTGGCCTGTTGCAGTGGATTTCTACCTTCCCTGCCAGCTGGTTTTAGAAGCGCTGGTGTCTTATGCTAATCACGCCTACCTTGAACTCTGACCCATCTTTTCAGATCACAGATTTCAGGACACCACTGCCTGGACTTTTCTCAGCTCCTCTTTGCAGAATGAATTAAACTGAAGTTATTTTATTTGCACTAAAATTTCCAAAGTACCTCTGCCCTTTCATCTCCTGCTCTCGGGATTGTTGACCATCACACAGGACCTTCTCTCTCATCTGGCACCTTGGTCTTTGGTTTCTTCTCTCCTGTTTTGAAATTGGCCCTGCCTTTCGGGATTGAGCAGTCCCTCCTGTGAAGGACAAGTGCATATTCCTCATGCTGTTTACTTCTGGCCTCAGTCACACCTTTTATAGGAGGGCTGACACTGTGACTCATTCCTCACTGTCGTTGCTCATCTGAGTCCTGGGCTTGGGGACACTGAGCACACTTGGACACGCCCATCTGAAATTTTCTCTCCTCTTCACCCCCATCTTCAGGGAACGCTGTCAGTTTAGCAATGAGCCAGTGAGTTCCTTACACCCAGGTGCCCACTTCCTTTTTCCTCCTTTGTCTCTCTGAGCACAGGTCATGCAAGCTACAGTTTTCTCTTAAAGGAATAGGGGGCCCAGACTTCTTTCTCTGCCAGCTTAACGGCATCGAGGTTTTGCCTCTACACCTTCAGTTGCTCAGATCCGAAGGTGGTGAGAGGGCAGGGGCGGACCCACTCCATTTCTACCTGTTTGGTGTGCACGTGGTATGGACTGATAGTGCGAGCCGGCTGTTGGCTGACTCAGTCCCACCAAAGGGAGGGAAGAGGCTGGTGTGTGCAGCAGCTTCTTCAGACCCTGCAGGCGGTGCCAGCTCCCTAGTTGGTGGACCCGTGTTAGGTGGGGATGTCCCAGGGTGTCAGCAGGTTGTTACCTGTTGCAGAAGGTGCCCTTAATGAAATGTCAGAGCCTGTAGCGGTGGCCCCTGCGTGGCGTGGCTCCTGGCACTGCAACTTCTGAGGGCTAATTCTTCGAGGCCTTTCCAGGTTCCAGGGACATCACAGCTCTTAAATGTCCAGGGAAATGGACTCAGTGCCCCCCTCTCCTGGGATTTAAGCAGGAAAATGTCTCACAACAACTGACCAGGCCTGGGGCAACATTCCACAAAATTCTCTGCCCTTCCTGGTGCCCTGCCTCCTTCCACAGGCACTTCTCAACTTCAAACTCAACTCTAAAACTGTTGTAAAAAAACTAACATACCAAACATCGGTGAGACCTTGGAGCAATGAGCATTCTCACACATTGTTGGTGGGAGTGTAAAACTGTACAACCACCATTTCTGGAAAAAGGCTTTCAGTTTGTTACGATGCTACACACACATCTATGCTCTGATTGACTCCTGCGCCCTTACCCAAGAGAAGTGGAAACGTCCATAGAAAGACTCCCACTCAGGTGTCCCAAGGGTCCCTCCACATGAGGATGTGTGAGCGCGTACACCGTCCAGGACCCGCGGGGTCTCTCTCTGGGAGAGAGAGGTGATGACGTGGTGGCTGTCCTCTCGGAAAGGACGTGGTGCGTGGTCCCGTTCACAGGAAGCTCCAGAGCAGGCACAAGTGACATCTAGGAGGAGAGCGGAGAGCCGCGGTCGCCTCTGTGGGAGCCGTGATGGCACTTCCCGAGTGGCAGTGAAGTTCTTCATCCACCTGGGGCTTGGGTTACTCGGGTGTAGACATCTGTCACAACTCAGAACATACACTTAGACTCGTAAGGGTAAAACTGTACACAGATATTGAACGTAGTGACACAGCAAATAGAGCAGGTGGCAGTGCTGGAATTTAGGTGGCGGATGTATAGGCATTCACCATAAAATCCTTTTAACTTTGATGCGTGATGTAAGGCCCGGAAATGAGGCTTAATCTGATGTGCTGCCTTGACCTCTGGTAAAATCAGGAGGGCCTCGAATGGCCTTGAGGTCCCCTCCCCACTCTCCTCTTGCAGACGCGGCCCGCTGACCTAATTTCCCTCCTATCCAAGGGACCAGTTGTGCTGCTTACTCATCCCTGAGCAAGGGTTTCCATTTCCTGCCAGTCTGAGGAGTTTCTCAGTCAAGTCAGTCACATCCTCCCGAGGGGCCCAGGGCCACCTCATGCTCCCGGTCCCACCGAGCCTGCTCCCACAGCTTATGCTGGCCCAGCCATTTGCTGACTGTGGCTCCCATGTGGCCCTGTGTGATGGGTGGTGTCTTACTCGCCAAGACTGTGATATATGTGTCCAATCCGGCTCATCTGTCCAGTGTCGGGTGGCCTACGTCAGCCCCATAGCTGTAAGGTAGAAATCCCTCCCTCACTGATGTAGTAAATTCGAGGCAATTAAAACATGCTGTATGTTTGAAATTTCCATAATAAAATGTTGGGGAAAAACAAACTTGTGTGCCCAGCAGTGAGTAATACTACAATGGAGAACGCGTTGCGTGTAACTTGATTGAACTCTTGTTTCCCTCAGGGATGTTTGAAATAGCACTAAACACAGGCTGGGCACTTCAGTGTGGCGCACACTACACCTGCTGTCTGTCGTCTGTCCTGCTTGTCCCCAGCAGTGCATGGAGCAGTTTGAGAGCCCACGAGTCAGCTCCCAGTGGGCTGATGCCCTCGGGGCCAGAGGGTGGAGAGCCCTTCCCTGCTGCTAGCTTAGTGACCTTCAGACAAATCACCTTCATCTTTGGACCTCTCTGCTTTGTCTGTAAAAATGAGGGGCTACCACAGTTCAGCCTTCCAGCTCCAACAGTCTAAGGATTATAATTTTCACTTAGCATAATACTCTCCATTTCCATCCATGCTATCACAAAAGGTAGAAGTTCCTTCTTTCTTTCAGCTGC